TCTTTAAATTGTTAAATGTTCAAGTTTTTATTTTATATTTGGAATTTTAAGGTTAATTCTTTTAATTTTGACATTTTTCATGTAATTTTTCTTTATTTTTTAAAACTTCAATTATTCTTTGGGATGACCCAATTGGCCCATGGGTCAACCCTAACCCGAACATTTAGGGTTAGGGTCTAGCATTTGACAACCCAACCCGAAATTCAACCCAACCCGAAATACCTTGACCCAGCCCGAACCCGACCCACCCAACCTGATTGCCAGGTCTAGTTTTGTCCATAGAAAACACAGCCTCCTTAATCTCTTCTAGCTCAAACCTTCTTTCCAACCTCTACCTATTGTCCTCTCCTACATCTAGCCAATCCAAACCTTCTAGCCACATCCCCCTCCTGAATGGCCTTCTTAATATGGACTTTAAGTGTTCAACAAATGCCCCTGCTATTTCATTCTATTGTGTTAAAGCAACGCCATCCACTTCCAGTCTTAAGATCATGCTTTTCCTTCCCCTCCCATTTGCCACATAATGAAAAAATCTGCTATTTCTATCCCCCTCTTGCAGCCATTTGCATCAAGACTTTTGCCTCCAATTTATTTCCTCCTTATGTAGACAATCCTCTAACTGCCTTTTCAAGCTTCTTCTTTGTTCCTTATCTACTTCTCCAAATTCTCTCATTTCTTCTTTCGAATCAAGGAACTCAATTTGATCCATCAATGTACTCTTCCTTTCATCTAATCTCTTGAATTCCAACTGATTCCACTCCTCGAGCTTGGCTTTCAGAACTTGGAGCTTCTTATGAAATCTCATGCCTTCCCAATCCACAATTGGGTTACACTCACTCCACCATTCCTTAACTCTCGTAGTAAACCCAGGATGGAGCAACCACATATTCTCAAACCTAAAAGGGGCAGGTTCTCTACTCCTCTCCTCTTTGCATATCACAATTGGCTAATGATCGAAGGTCAATCTAGGAAGAGCCCTAGAGGTAAGGCGCCCCCAATGGTCTTCCCAATCCAATGAGAAAAGAAACCTATCCAACTTAGAGCAGATAGGACTCGATTGGAGATTGGACCATGTGAAAGTCTTTTGGGCTAAAGGTATCTCTTTGAGTTCAAAAGCATCCACAAACCGATTAAACTTCCTCATACTAGTTGTCACCCTCTAATTATTAATATCGGTTTCCTCCATGAATCTAATCACATTGAAATCTCCACCCACACACCAAGGTCCATCCCATAGTCCTCTGACATCAGCCAATTCCTCCCACAATTCCTTCCTCTCTCTATAATCATCTAAACATTTAAGTTTCTCATGTTTTCAGATGCATGTATCAATGTAACAGTGCTATGGTGTCTTGATGGCCCCGTTTTTTTGTTTTTATTATAGCTATTTAGTTGGAATTCTTGGGCTAATATGAGCTTGAGTTTTTTATTGGTGTTGGGATGCATAGTGATTGGACTTTGGAATAGTTTGTAGGGCCAGTTCCCATTTGCTTGGGCTGCTCTGCTGGGAAATTTGAGGTTAGAGGTGGATATTCCCCCTTTGTTGGTAATTGCTACTTGGATGTCTTTAAACAGATAAGTATCTGTGGACTAGGAGATGGTAGATCTATTTATTCTCTTTTTTATACAAGTGTTGAAGTGTTTACTCTATTGAGAGCCATATTGATGTCGATTTGACCTAGGGTAGAGCTAGTGCATACATGTTTGTGTGTAAAATGTATCCCATAATTTGATTGAGCTGTTGATGTACCATCTGCACAAGTGCATTGTATAGCAAGCACAAATAGCATTATATTATCTCCAAATGATTCAGAGTGAAATGACCCTAATATGATTAATAATTGACAACTATCAGCATACCTCTTAGAATTGAGTACTACGGAACCACCAAGAATAAAGCGTATCCCTGAATTAGTGGCATTCTGTAGAGCCACAGCACGAGCCTCCTCATATGTTGTCCCACCAACAACAAAGATCACCACATCTTGGGGCCTGATTAAAGATTAAATATATCCTTTAAAACATATAAAACATTGAAAGGGACAAAAAATCTTAATACTTCTTTCTTATCAGTTAAATATTTAACATTTCTCTATTTCCAATTTCTTTTCTCTCTCTGATATATAGGTAATAATGACATATTTTCTAATAAATCTTGTCTTTCTTTCCCACATTTTTTCCATGGGATCTTTAGTCTTTACATTAGGCAACTTTTCCATCCATTTCAAAAGTGGCAAAAATTTTTCCAAAAGCTATACTAAATTAGCTTTTGGCAAAGTAACCTATATGAACTAAAAACACATAAGAAAGTAAAAGATAATAAGGTATAAGGCCATTAAACCTCAAAATCTAAAGAAACACTTGAAAATTAGCATCAGCTAACCAAACATTTTGATATTACTTTTTCCCTCGTTCTTTTTATTTTCTAGAACTTTCTTCCTTAGTCCTATTACTATATTTTAATATAGTAAAATTATAGCATTATCTTGATGGGGAGTTGTCCCAGTGCACATTTGGATCTTTCACCATCCATTTCAAATAATTGCTAAATTCCTGGTAGGGGTGGCAATTTTCCCCGTCCCCGATGGGTACCCGGGCTCCCCAACGGGGTCGGGGATGGGGGGGTACCTTGGCGCGGTCGGGGTCAGGGTCGGGGATGGGGTTACCCTTGAACCCCCTATCAGGTTCGGGGACGGGGAATGCAATCCCCGCCCCGACTCGTCCCTGATTAATATATATATATATATATATAATATATATAATATTATATATTGTATAATTATAATAATTATAATTCATTTTTTTAAAAGGTTAAAACTTAAAAAACAGTAAAATACTAAAACCCTTGATAGTAAAACACAAAGAAGAGTCGTTGTCGCCACTCGCTGACTATCGTCGCTTCAACCTTCGTCTATCATCGCCGACCACCGTCGTCGTCGCCCATCAAACTCTCTCTCGACGCCGACCTCAACTCTCACAATGGTCCTCAGTCTTTCACAATATGATCCAGGATGCGTGCATACATATCTCATTGGGGATTTAGGTCTCTTCGTTGGGGTCGGGGATGGAGGGGGGACTCCTTTCCCCGCCGAGGATCGGGGACGGGGATGGGGGGTGATTTGGGGGTCGGGTCAGGGATGGGGAATGTAATCCCTGCCAGGAATTGGGAACCACAATGGTTAACCAAGGATCAAAATTTCACAAAATATCGGCCTATATCAACTAATACATATCGTATTGGCAGAGTACCAATATATTGTATTTGGGGTTATTTTTTCAGATACGTTTGATTCAAACGTTGACAAACATTAAATCTAGCCCCCTTTAAATTTTGAAAAAAAATATATATATAAAGTGGAAGGTTCAAAGTATTGATCACCCCTTTCGTTGTATTGATATTTTTGAACATTGTGGTCAACCACTTGATCCCACTCCCCACCAGTGTTTTAAAAGCGCAAGGCGCAAAAAGGGCGCAAGGGCCATTTTGCGCAAGGTGCAAGGCAAGGTGCACAATTAAAAAAAAAGCTAAAAATTCAAAAAAAATTATAAAACATAATATTAATAAAAATATAAATTTAGTTTTAAAAAACCTATTATCTAAAATTTTAATACATAAATATAATATGTAAAGCATATTCAAATGAGAATTTAAAAATGAAGCCAAACATAGAAAACATTTTGAAGCATATAAAACCCACAATCTCTTTTTTTTTCTCGATTGCATTAAGTAGCTAATGTGACATATTACATTCCTAATTCTACGAGCCACCTTTGTGCCATGTCCCTCGAGGCAAGCCCAAACAAGTCCATGTTAGGGTCTTAAATGCTTAGTTTTCACACAAAAAATAATAATTTTATAGTTTTAATTGCTTTTAAGAAGATATTTTATTAGGATGAATGAATGGACAACATTACCAAATAGGGATTTGGTGAAAACTATAAAATTGTCCAAATAGTTTTAATTGCTTCAAGAATCCCCTATTTGGTAATGTTGTCCATTCATTCATCCTAATAAAATATCTTCTTAAAAGCAATTAAAACTATAAAATTATTATTTTTTGTGTGAAAACTAAGCATTTAAGACCCTAACATGGACTTGTTTGGGCTGGCCTCGAGGGGCTGCCAAACTCAAAATAAAGGAAAAAGCGGCAAATTTTCAAAAGGTGCACGCCTGGGCTAAGGTGCAAAGCGCTCTAGGCGCAAGCCTGGGCGCACCAGGCATGTGCCTTTTGAATGGGCTGTGCCTAGGACCTAGGCGAGGCACCTACCCTAAAATGTGCCTCGCCTGTGCGCCTAGGCGCACCTTTTAAATCACTGCTCCCCACTGTCTCAATGGTTACCTGAAATGGTCAGTTGACAACCAAAAAACATTGAAGGCAATCCATCCTCAGGGTGATGTCACAATTTCGTATAAATCTAAGTTTGTTCTCAGATATTCTAAAATCAAGCTTAAAAATATCGATACATCCCAAAATGGCAAAATGGGTGTATTGGTACTTTGAGCCTTTCACTTTATATTTTTTTTAGTTTTTTTTTTCAAAATTTAAAGGGGGCTGGATTTAATGTTTGTTAACATTTAAAACAAACCTTTTTGAAAAACACTAAAAACAATGAATCACCCTGCTGATACAATATGTATCAGCCAATACGGGCCAATACATTGCGAAATTTCGATCCTTGTCTAAAATTCTAACAAAAGGTACTCTGGTATTAGCTGTTGAAGTTACAGGTTAGACTAGTCAGTTTGGTGTTAAATTCAAGTGTCAGGGTGATTCAAGCACGTTCAGCATCTAAATTAGATTGAAATATGCTCTGAAGGCAAGATTAATTGGACATTAGTTTCATTCTCAGTTCATGTTAACACAAGCTTCTACAGAAGGCAAAGTGGAGTCTAACTATTGCAGATGCTTCCTGCTGAGGTAACCAAAGTAGTAAATTGTGTGGCAGAAAAGAACCATGTAACAGATCCAAAACCACATCTATAATATAAACTGCTAGCTTCTGTTATGTCTGTAGAACAAACCTGCCCTGCTGAAAGTGATTTCCAACAAATGGATAGTCCACATCTCTGAGGCGCCCCTTGGTGAGGTTTTCCATGGTTTGGAATAGAAGAGGTTGGTGCTGTGTGTACACATTCTCAATTCCCTGCAACAACCGTGTTAGACCATTTCAAGAACCAAAAACTGAGGTACAAAGCAGAAAGCATAATTTATCCACACAAACCTTGAGCCCACGAGCCATATTACGGGCAATGTTCAGGAGGTCTCGATTACCATACAGATCACCAGTTCTCTTATCAACACCCGCTTGTTTCAATAAGAATTGAACAAGCTGTTTGTCCCATGATAAAAAAAAATAACTCTATTAGATTCAGAGTAAATGAACAACAGTGCATATAAAAACTCCTAGCTTGCCCATTTGGCTGTAGATCCTCTCCAAACAGAATAAATCTAAACTAAATAAAGCTAGCAAATATTATAAGTAAAATACTTGTATTTTTTCATATATTCTAAAGATCAACTAATTCCAATATATTAAGGATCATATCAATTATAGAAAGCGATGATAACAAGCAAAAACAAAGAGAAATAGAACCTTGCTATTGCACCAAAATACACTAAATGGTGCCTGTGGTGTTAAAGCAGCTTAAATAAGAAAACTAAAGAGCTCATCTATTTATCTTTTTTGGATAGGTAACAGAAAATTCATTAATGAAAATCTTTATGTACAAGTTTACATTCTATTTTGCAGAGGTTTATATACCTCTCCCCAATCATTATACAGCCAAGAAAAACTTTCCTTGTAATCCCTTGTTTAGCTAGATTATCAGTAATAGAATTAGCTGATCTCTGAACCAACTGCACTAAAACTGACATACTCCTTGTCATCCACTTAATCCTTTTAAGTTCATTTCTGTACTTCCAAAGAGTTTCTTCATAATTCATCAACCAGTGCATTACTAACTTGGAGCCCCCCTCAATTATCAGCTTTTGTATATTCAATTCTTTTGCTCTGCTTAGCCCCTTCACTACAGCCATTACTTCTGCCGTCAGTGAATCCCCAAAGAATTGGCCCTGAAAACATTGCTCCTCTTACCCCTTCCACTGCACTATGGAGCTCGTTTGTTAACTAAGAACTTTTGCTTTTCTTTCTAAAATTTCTCTTCTTAAATAAGATTATTCAATATATAACAGATATTTTAGATGGAGGATTAGGTAAACCAAAAAAAAATGAAGTGCAGTGCTCATGATAAAGGAAAATTGAAAAATAATGGCCAAAAATAAAGTTGCTAATTAAATGCAAAATAGCATGATAAGACAGAAAAAACAAGTTGCTGAATATAGAATGGGGATGTTGGTTTAGTTACGTTACACCAGGCTTGTACTTGGAAGACCGTGAAGATAGTTTGTTGAAAAGCTGCATTATTTGAAGTGGGTTCTCCTTCTCAAAGCGCAAAGCATACAGCATAACAAGACGTAGACAGTCAATATCAGAGACACTTTCATCATTCAGAAAATTTGTCACAGCCTGTGGAAGGGCGCACAAAATCAATGAGGTTATACACATTTTTTGATGGATAATTATACACATTTGACCATATCTAATTATACACATTTTTAACTAATGGACCAAATTGGACAAAGTACACTGAAATTCACCAGAAAATATAATTAGAAAGCATGAAAAAATAATCATATTACGGAATAGAAACATTAAATTAGAAGTTAACCTTTGGGCCCAGACTGTTAAAAACAGATGTACTAGTCCTAAGAAGATGAGGAAAGACCCTAGGTGAACATTAGAAGGAAATTTATATATATATACACACTGAAACAAGGAAGTCCATCTTTTTTCTCCTTTTTTTGAACTTTTGATTTTATTTTATTCTATATCATTTTTACAAACAATCAATAGAAAGACAGTTTCTTTATGATGTCTAGCCATGTAGCACCACTACCCCCCACTTTCTCCTAAATTATCTCTAAGTAGGAATGACCCCATACTAAGTACGGGGCAATAATCTGAACTATTTCAATTTTTTTAAATCATCTATAATAGAAATCTAGGTTAGGGTTTTTATTTCATTTTTATAGATTTTTACTAGTGGGGACCCATGTGATGCACAGACTATGTTAAGCAAAAGCTAAATAATAGAAACACATAAGAGTAGACACTTGTTTTATATTTTAACTTTTTAAATAATTAATAATTATTTATATTTTACATACTATTTTTAATAATTTCTTTGCAATACAAAAATAACAATAATTAATTTCAGCTAGGGTTGTTCATCAAACCAATGAACCCGACCCAACTCGATCCGAGTTGGTTGGTTTTCTAGTATTAGACTAAGACTTAACAAATTCAATGAACGATCATCTTTAATTTTTTTAATGGTTCCTCCTGAATTTTATTGTAAAATGAAATAACTCCAATTAAATCATTCTGTAATGATAGATTATCTAAAATAAATTAATCCATTCATAACTTGACTTTGAAATTTTGAAAAGGACAAACAATCTCCAGGCTTCAGTGATTCAATGCAAAAGAAGGCCTTTTTCCTATCCCAGAATAATAAGGAACTTTCTTGGTTAATCTGAAAGGTCCTTGGAAATTTATCAGATGTCTTCTTCCTTTTCTTGCCCATTAGATGTGATGTTCAAAATGATTATTTTATAGACTGCTGATGACAAATTACAAACTTTCAAAACTCTGAAGCTGATTTTTTTTTATCTTTTTGAAAAAGCTAAGGATAATTTCATTGAACAAGTAAATCGTTACAGTTTACAACGTATACTCCCATGTACACAAGATTATGCACCCTGAGCCTGTATAAACCTTTCACACTTTACCAAAAAGGATTACATCAAAATGTTCCTTGATATTTTTTATGTCTAATCTGAAATCTGATTCTGGTATTTGGAGAGATGAGGGGCAGATTGCATGTGACTCCAATGCAGCTGAAACTCTGAAACCAAATTTTCTCTTGTTTTAAAGGCTTTAGATTTAGATCTCTGGCTCTGGTTTTCTCTAGCTCTGGTAAACACTTTGTTTTCTAAGATGTCTCATAACCAATGCAGTGGTTTATTTTCTTCTTAAAGGTAGAGTTGTAAGCTTTGATAGATATCAGCAAATGCTACCAAGCCACCTTTCTAAACTGAAGGACCTAGCTGTGCCAACACTTGGTACTTGGAACAACATTTTTTTAATCTTGCTCCTCATGTGTGCTTAGTGTGTCTAAAAGATGAGGAGTCTTGTGGCCATCTTCTTATCAATTGTGAGGTTGCTCGCAGTCTATAGCAATTTTTCCTTAATCTGTTTTTTAACAACAGCTTTTTCTGGTTCCCCCTATTGATGTTGGAGCTTTCCTTAACCAATGGCAAGGCTGTAGATTAGGGAACAGAGGCAGTTTGTATAAGATGGTAGAGGTGCATGCTATAATGTGGTGCATTTGGAAGGAGTGGAATAAAAAGGTGTTTAAGGGAAATGCTCATCCTTCGAAGACTTGAAAAGGAGAACCCTTCTCCTAATCAATGGTTGGTTGAAAGCTCACAAATTGTTTAGAGATATCCTTTGGGGATTTGGAAAGGAACCTGTAGCAAGTTCTAAACTCTACTTGCTTGGTACCTCCTCCTACTTCTAGCTTATCTCCCAGACCTCCTGTGGATTTTATTCTCTGGTTTGATGGCAGTTGCAGAAGTTTTGAGCCATAGGGGTCAGGCTAGGATTGGGGATCAAATTCTTAAAGCCAATGATGATCTGTTTCAGGCCTTTAGTGGGCTGATTGGTGTAACTGATTCAGCTGAAGAAGAAGCTTGTGCCTTGTTAATGGGCTTGAGAGCTGCGGTTCATCTCAATTTAACTGAGTTGGTGCTGGAAGGAGACTCCAAAATGGTGATCAGTTGGATGAAGAATTTAAAGGATGGTCCTTGGTGATTCAGTTGCATGTTTAATGAAATCAAAAAAAAATTTGTCTTCTATTTCTTGTCATCTTAGATGGATAGAAATGACATATTCAATAATGAGTCCAGACTTTCATTCTCTTTTTTCACTATTTTTTAATTATTTTTTGTCAATATTTTGAATTATTTATTTAATTATGATTATGTACGTGATTTTTTATCAGTTATGATTATGTATGCTATTGATAGAAAAGAATATTTACTATCATGTCCTTATGCCATATTTTAGTAGAAGTGATATATCAGGTATTGGCACCCATTCAATGTACAAAGGTAACAGCAGATATCGGGGTGTGGGGCTGATATACTTCAAATCCATTCAATGGGATAAGTTTTCACTATACCTTCTTTCTTCTTTCTCTTCAACAAGTTTTCTTGTTAACTATCAAAGAGGCAAAGGCCATTACTAATGCCAGTAATGGCTAACTTCAACATTTTTAGCACAAATTGCCACTATCAAACTCAAATATCACACTTGACAGAGTGAGATTTTACCATTTTACCAAGCAATGGCCCCTTATCTACCACAAGAAGTATTAAAGAAAAAACCAATGGATACAATGCATTTAATTGCATGGTACAAGAGATTATCTTGTTAAATAAATTATCAACAGATTATTCCAACAAGTAACAAGATTTTTCAAATTCATTACTGAAGAAACATTTATCAGTTACAGGATATTATAAGGAAACAGCTATTATTACATTTTTCCCATAAATTACCTCAAATGTTGCAACTTGTCCACCGTTGCAGGCCAAGTCTTGTTCAGTTTGTGAAACTAGCATGAGCTTTCGCTCTTCAACTATCTTGCTCATTTCTGTAACCATTGTCACATGCTTTGATACATTTCCTTGCATCTTTCGGTATTCAGGGTAGTTGTCAACAAATTTGGCCATGTCTTCTGCAGAAACAAATATTTAATTGCTATATCAGAAACTTCTAGGTCCAAGAGGCATCCTATGAATCCCTTTACTGAAAACTACAACTGCCAACTAAGTCTCTTCTGCCAAAGTTTCTAAATTTTCCTCATGTATACAAACCTATTGTTTGGATATTCTGGTTACTCTTTGCAACCTGCTGGAACTCATCCACCATCCGCTTGATATTCATTCCAAGATCTCCAAAATTTTCATACATGTTTGACTTAAAAAAGACATCTTGTTCTGATGACAATACGACCTCCTATAAGTAGAAGTCGGCATAAGGGTCATTGAATACCAAAAAAGGAGAGTGTCTAAGATAAGAAGATGCACAAGGAAAAAGGATCAACCTGCTGGTCCTTTGAGATTTTACCGATACTTCTCAAGTCCACTTTATTATCCTGAATGCCTATCAACTCATGGACCATTGCCTATGTAAAGAAATTTAATGGATTATTCATTAATTTCTCTTTTTATAACTATTAACATTCATTAATTTCAAAATTATAATGTAAGAGCAATCTGAGAGGTCCTGCATATTTATCAAAACAAATTTGTGACTGACATCACAAAGGTTAGGAGTACCTGATATGTCCATTGATTCAGCAAAGGTGTGATGGGATCATCTCTCCTATCAACTACTAATAACAGGGGAGAAATTTCTGCTCGTCTGAAATCAAATAGGCCAGTTTCCTTCTGATACATAAGATTCTGTTGGATGCAGCAAAAGAAACAACTAAATCCACCTCTCAGAATTTTAAGTAGAATACTCCATGGTAATCAGACAACATAAACATGCAAATAATATCTACAATATGTTTCTATACAAATTTGCTTACCGCTGTTTCCTGTGCAATCCTTTTGGCAACATCAGAGGTTCTCTGGTATCGAATAACAGGTCGGCGTTTTAATGCTAGGAAAACTGCTGCAATACCATCAACAACGCAATCACAGTAGTTCTGCAAACTTGAAGGATCCATGACAACAGGGAGCATGTAAATGTGGTTTGATTGCACATTTAACGTGAAATGGTAGGGATCAATGGCAACAAAATCAGCATAAAACTCCTGCAAGATCGATTTATAAGCATTCATGTATAACATCTATCGACATAACTTGAAGAATCTAATCTAATTATAGATATAAATTAGAATTATAAGAAGATGTCCAACTCAGTAAAGAATTACTCCAAAGGGATACCTGAACTTGCTTGACAACTTCTTGTTCATCTGAATCAGCTAGAATATGAATCTGGGTGTCGTTCAAGATGTTAGAAAAAACTGCAAAACAAATGTGGTCATTTACGACGACGAAACGATTAGAAAAAAGAAATGGTCTAACGTAATAATTCAAACCGTCTCTTCTTTTTAGATAATCTTTGGGAGCTTACAGAGGTGATACTCTGCAAATCTCGGAGAAGCCAATTGTCGTCGTAAATACTGAATATTCTCCGTTGTTGGGCGGAGAAAGAAAACTGCTTTGAGGTGGGACATGGATTCCTTCGATTTCGAACCAATCAATTCGACAAGAAATACTTCCTTCTGAAGAAGCTCCGATTGAGAATATGCAACACTTACAACACTAACCTGCAACCCAGTTGCTCTTTAATTAAAAAAAAAAAATTGATTTTTTCTTTGTCTGGTTTTTAGGGTAGAGAGAGAGAGAGAGAGAAAAGCGCCAGGTACCGTATAGGAATCGAGGAGGAGAACCTTCATGCCCGAGATGTCCTGCAACATCCGGTTGATATAATCTCGAACAGCAGATACCAGCACCATATCCTCCCTCTCTTCGGCTTTGGGATGGAATAGAACCCCGAAGATCCAGAATTAGGGTTCTTCGTCTTCTCCTCGTTCTCCTTCTTCCTCGGCAGATTTCTGATGGAAGCAACAGATCTATTCTCTTTTTTCTTCAGTTTTGGTGGAGAAACCGGCTGACTTTACAACCCAACCCGAGTCGAACCGCTGACCAGTCCCAATCCGATTCATGTACGTCCTTGTTCGAGACGACCCATGATAAAACCGGATTAAACCGGACGGGTTATTTTCTTTAGCCCCTTCCAGCCAATGCAGCCATCCTCTCGTGTCCCTCCATAACCCCTACTACTAGGGGTTTGTTACCTCTGCAGGCTTTCGTCTGTGACTTCATTTCGTTCTTTGCGCCATGACGAAATTTCGGAAGCTCGGCCGCCCCACGGGGCATCGTATGTCGATGCTCAGGTTTGTTCGTCTTTGAATCAATTCATAGTTTGGCTGATTGTTTTGATCATAAATGAGTTTTCTTTTTGTGTATAATATCGAGGCCTTGAGGAACTTCTGGTTTTGAATGTCTGTGTAGGACAATGGTTTCGCAGCTGGTGAAGCATGAACGCATCGAAACTACGGTCGCAAAGGTACGTTCTTCATTTGGAGGTTGTAGGGCTTTCCGGGTTTTTGTGTTTCCTATGTGGGTATGCGAACAAACGTGAATTTGAGTATAGATTAAGAAAAGTTTATTGAGGAGTTTCAAAAGACAGTTGATCGATTGGTATCTATAATGAACGTTGTTCATTTCAGGCGAAAGAAATTCGGCGACTTGCTGATAACATGGTGCAGCTTGGGAAAGAGGTCTGTCTTATCCCACAGAACTATAAACGTATTTTAACTTGTCTAATACATCGTGAATAATGTTTCCTTCTGATTAATGCAATAGAGCATGCTTTGACTGGCCTTTGTAGCAGTTAAATAGATTTTTATGGTAAACCAGTTCGGATTCTTATCTTCACAACAGCTTATGACTTTTGGAATAGGCCCAATAGGGGCCTTACTTGATTAGTTAAAGGAAGAGTGAGTCATTTCACATGAGAAATGATTTGGCCTCTTTCTCTGAAAGGCCTCAATTGCTATTGGAACAATGATTCATTGTCAAGTTGACATGGAAAACAATGATTACATCAAATGAACTATCTTACAATGAACAAAAAGATAGTTGGTCAGTTCTCCACTTCTCATTCAATGATGGATACAGGAGGCATTTCAACTTGTAGTCTTCCATTTGACTCTACATATCACAAGATTTAATCTTATGATGAACCACCTCCTATGTGATGACCCTTAAGTTTGGTTGGTCAAAGGAATTTGACACTTATTTTGTATTTTTGTAAATAAAACTGAGATGTCACATATGTTTTTATTTTTTTAAATCAGGTGCCAAATAATTATACATGGTATGGTAGCTACATGTTCAAGGTACTCAAGCAGCATTCTTTGATAAATTTTATGCTATCAAGAAGAAAGAAAAAAGAAGAGAATATTTCGAGGATGAATACATGAAAACAATGAGAGTTAACTCAAGAATTTCTGTTATAAGAATGACTCATCTATTAGGGAGGAGTTCAATGGAATTTCACTTGTTTTTCATCATTAGAGGAAATGGCATTAGAAGGTGGCAAGCCATTTCCTCTAATGATCAGGGACTAGGTCCCCCAAAACTGTATTTGAGCTGAACCTGATTTGGAATTTAAGTTCATTATCGTGAGTTTTAGTTATTTTTCTGTTTCTTCAATGTATATTAGTTATGGGCCTCAAAACGTTCTAAATTTAGGTTTCAATGATCCCAATTTTTTTTTTTTTGAGAAAATGTTAACTTTATTCGAAATAAGAAAGGTACACGAGGAGAAGTACACAGAAATCAGGCACTCAAAGAATTACATAGGCAGAAACCTATCACTGAATAAGTAATCCCTGTAAGTGCCAGATTTAACTAGACTGTCAGCTTCATAGTTTAGCTCCCTCAGAACCCAGCCCACATGAGCATTCAAGGAGGAGAGGATGTCTCTCACTTCAGCCAAGTAGTGAGCTAAGGCCCAAGGCCCACTGTCAAGATTAGTGAGCCAATTAATGGTGTTGGCTGAATCTCCTTTAATGGTAAGATTTAATAAACCCAGGGCTCTTGCAATCCTGATGCTGGTTAATGCTGCCATGACTTCAGCCTTTGTTGAGGAAGCTATCCCAATCGGCGCACTAAAAGCCCAACTGATGGTACCATCTCTTCTTAGAATTGTGCCTCCAATACCTGCTGCACCTGGGTTTCCAAAAGTACTCCCATCAAAGTACAAAGTTGTCTCCCCTTCCTCGTCAAATCTGAAACTGCGGGAAGTGTTGAGGTGTATGTGATTAGAGTGAAGAAAATTTACGGCATTTCTTTGGAGGTCAGAAAATGTGACACCTCTGAAATAATTTGAGCTGGAAGTCCACAGGAAGCATCTGTAACAGATTAGAGAAATAAGCTCCTCACAATTTTTTGTTCTGTTGTTAAACACCCAATTATTTCTCTCTTCCCAAATGCTTCAAAATATAGCATGTGCAGCAGATTGCCATAAAGTTTTCCCTCCTTTGCTTAGACCTCTTCCTGACCATTGTCCTAAGCATTCAACCACATGTTCTGGGAAAATCCAATTGTATTCAAATAATGTTAGGAAAAAGTTCCAAAATTTTCTAGTTTCCTCACAGTGAAGCAGGATGTGGTTGGTAGACTCCCCGGCTTTAAGGCAGAAGCAACAGATAAGGGGATAAATAAGATCTTCCATGGTTCTTTTTCTGAAGGAGATCATAAGTGTTGATTTTCTTTAAGCTGGCCTCCCTCACAAAAAAGCAGACCCTGGAAGGGATATGGGCACACCTCTAAGAAGAGACAAGCCCAAGTCGAGCCTGAGTTCTGGACCTTCTGGTATTAGTACAAGCCCAAGCTGAGATGGGAAAAGCTCCAATCATTTCCACCCTTAACCTCCCCCTCTTTACAAGGAAGGTAAAATTTAACTTTGATGGATATTCTCTCCAAACCATTCATAAGTTATCTCTGCATATCTTGGATCTATTTGCAACGACCATAAGAGAAGAAATTATATCACTTCAGGGATTGATGATTTAGATAACAGTGAGAGTGGAGGTTCATGCAAAGTCCTCAGTAGTGATAGATCAAAATCTCCATCTGATGTATGAGAACCATTCAAAGAGAAGCTGCATGCAGTAGAAATTGAGGAATAAGGGTTCAAAGAGGGCTGAAGAGGGTGGAATTTTCAAGAAGATGAGCAAAAAGGACTTGAAGCATAAGGCCATGTTGAATTGAGTTCAGTTATGAGCAAAAAGGGCTGGGCTGATCGATTAATAAAAGAAATTAGTAGTTTAGAAGTACAAATAAGGTTTAAACTTTAATGAAGAAAGAATTAAGGTTGAGGAAATTAAGAGAAATAGAAATTAGGCACAAAGAAAGATAGTGGAGTCTCACCTCTAACCTTGTGCAATGTCTGAAGGTTCACAACTCTTGGACTAGAAGCACAATGGAATCTCAACATTGAAAGTATGGATCCACTCCATACTGCAACATGGATGCAAAAAAGGAAACATGCAAAGTTACTTCTAATATCTTTAGGATCTTCCAACAAATTTATGCAAATCTAACAAAATCTTCAAAGATGTTAGAATCTTTTAGAGGTTTACGTATGGACCATGATAGTTTTGACCAACCTCTATTAGTCTATTGTGTTGTATAAGTTGACTGGATGTGAGCTTACTTTGTCCTAAATATTGGCCCAGCTTCAGGACCATATTGAGGCCCATGAAGACACCCCCCAAAACTAGATAGGAGCCATCTGCATCATTATCAAGGAGCCCTTGCTGACACCAATTCTACATGGGGAGGTATGTTGTCACTAGAATGAACAACTCAGTCAATTGGATAGATACGTAAATCTTCCAACTCCCTTGTAGGTGGATTAGGAAGAAACGGGGTATTGAGAGTTGAGACTCATCAAGTCATTTTTTTTTATGAATGAAGAAATTTATTAATCACAGAAAATAGGAATTACAAGTGACCCAAGAAGAGGCATGAGGTGCAACCTCTTCAGAAAATTCTTAAAAACAAATTGAATAAGTTACAAGGTAGTCCAAAACAGACAGTCCCGAGAAACCCCTTGTTTGGCTAATGAATCAGCTATAGCATTTTCCAATCTGCTCACCCACTGAACACTAACTGTCATGTTGTTAGTCAGCCAATTCACTTTTTTAAAGAGGGTCTCTATAACTCCAAATGGCAGAATCCAGGTTCAAGAGCCATCCCACCACCTGTGAGTCACCTTCAATTAATAAATGCTCCAACCCAAGCTAGTTTGCAATCTGAATCCCTTGTACAGAAGCTAGTATCTCTGCTCTTGTGGAGTCACCCACTCCCATTGGTCATAAAGAAATAATGTTGCTATCCTTATTTATTAGGACCCCTCCTATACCCGAAGGTCCTGGATTACCCTGACTACACCCATCAAAGTTCAGCTTAATGACACCCTCTGAAGGAGGTGTCCTTTCTACTGCTCTTCTAATCCTCCTAGAAGAAGTATTAGCCGTTGCTACCCAATTTCTCCAAAGATCATCAAAGGAAAAATCAGCAAAAGTCTAATGTTTTCAGCCAATGGGTTGCCCTTGTCAATGTGCAATCCTGCACTTCAGGAAAATTTCTTTCCTTTTCTAAGAATATTCTGGCATTCCTTTCAGCCAATGGATTGCCCTTTCTCTAATGAATTCATTAGAGACTCATCGAGTCATTGTATCAAGGGATAAGTATGCAATATTATCATCTGTATATTTTGTTCATAGCAGTTTATATTCGGTTTTGTTGGCTGTTTTCTGATTGTTTGTTTTATGGTCCTTTTCACATTTATTAAAGAAATGTTTCTTGTTTGACTGCATGACCCATTAAATGAAAGTTTTCTTACTGATTGGGGGGGAGTTGGCCATTTTTCAAGACCTATTGGAATTTGGAAACCCTGTTACAGCTAAATTATTGGTCATTTTTCAAGGCCTGAGACTGGCTAAAACTCTAAATTATGGAAATTTATCAATGGAAGGAGATTCAATGATGGTTGTGCTCTGGTTCAAGACCAACAGTAATGGTTCCTGGTAGGGGATACACTGAGAGAAACATTACAGGTGGCTAAGGAATTGCACACTACTCTCATATGGACCTAGAGATCAACATATAATTTAGCTGATGCGTTAGCTAGCCAAAGAGTGTAAGTTGTATTATTATTATTATTGGGCGGGGGATTGATTGCACATGAAGAATGAACATAATTAGAATGTCAGAATATGGGGTAAGGTAGCAGGGGGCAACATATCACTTGGACAGCGGTGCTTGGCATATTTAATATTGTATTCCATTTTCTTATGCATAGCAATATAGGTTCTGCTTAGTCAAGAAAGAGAAAGAAAAAGCATTTCAATATCTCCTGACTTGGAAGATGGTTATGGAGGTTCTTTAGTGATCACAGTTCCCTTTGGAAGTTATGGATAAATACAGTGCCCAAAAACAATGGTTGGGATGCAAATATTCCAAAGATTTCTTATGGGTGCAGCATTTGGAAAGGTATTTGCTCAGCATATCCTCACTTCCTGAGAGCCATAAAGCATAAGGTTGGTGATGGCAGAAGAATTATTTCTTGGTGTGATGGCTATGCTTTGAAAGAGTTATCTCCTGAGCTATACAGATTAGCATGCAACAAGGATGCAACAGTTGCTGACTCATCTTTTTTCTGGAGGCACTCCTGTGTGGACTCCTGTTTTCAGGGAAATTTTCAATAATTGGGAATGGGGGCAAATCTCTGACCTGCTGTCTTTGATTCAGAATCATAATTGCACTGTATTGGAGGGGGATTCCAGAATTTGGAAATGGCATAGTTCTGATAATTTTGCAGTAAAATCTTTCTATAAGAAGTTATTTGAAAAAGATTCAGGGAATTTTCCTTATAAGGAGATCTGGGGTACTGTGACACCCTCAAAGGTCAATCTTTTTACTTGTTTGGTGGTGCTAGAGTGCTGGACAAATGCCAATCAAAAGAATACTTATTGAGAAGGGGATTGACCTTGGGCAACACTGACTATGTCCTCTGTGAAGAGCAGCTCAAGTCTTCTAGGCACTTGTTTATCCATTGTAATTTCACTAGCAGATTATGGACTAATTTTCAGAATGCATTTCACTGGCAAGGTTGTCATCCTAATTCTGTTGGTGAACTTCTGGATAAGTGGCATGTTCAAAATATGAGCAGGAAGGGCAGGTTAGCTTGGGCAGTGATCCCTCTAGCCATTTTTTGTTCTACATGGATGGAAAGAAATGATGAGCTTTTTGAGAGCAAGAAGAGCTTGGTGGAATATGTGATTAACTCTGCTTTTGGTCTGATCAGGGACTGGCTATCTACTAGCAAGATTACCAGTGGGGAGTTCAACCAATTTTTTTGTCTGTAGACTTTTTTGAGTCTTACCCTGTGAACTAATGTACAGAATCTCATTGTACATGGGTTTATAGTGATACTTCATACAATACATTACTTTTTCCAAAAAAGAAGAAAGAAAAAAGTTAGCTTGAGAATCTAGAAACCTTTTATCATTCTGATTGACTACTCCTAACTCCTAAGCAATGAAGGTCATTAGTTTGTGTTCTAGATATTTTTTTTTATTCAAGGGGCTATAAACCATCTATCCATCAAGTTCTTGAGGATGTTTTTATATCATACTGTCATCATTATGTTGCTAGTATGTGTATCTGCAACACATCTGATGTGGACGCGTATTGGGAGCAGCAGCAGCAATGATCCGGTGTTCTCATCCTATCCAATTCGGCTGCAACAGTCTTATCCATTCAGCAGATTATATTAAACTATCTTGTTATTCTTATCTTATTAAGTTAGTAGATTATCTTATCTTATCTTATTAGATTAGGATTAAGAGAGACTTATCTTATCTTATCAGTCTTATCTTATCAAGATAGAGTTSGAGGTCTCCYTATTYAGYAAGGAGTYTCCCTARGAGYAGGACTCTTGTAATCTCCTATTTAAGGAGCCACGAATTAAAATAAAGGATGGAGTTTTCGCAGTCAAGAAAGAGAGTGAGGAGAGTTCGGGTGATCTCTTGGACAAACCACCCATTAGGAGAGTTTGGGTGATCTCTTGAACAAATCACCCACGCGATTGCCACAATAGGGTCTGTACGCAAGGGCAAGGGCAAGGGAAGACAGGAGTCTCTCCCGATGGACTGACCCGTGACAAGATCCTACGCGCGGGCCCATAACATTTGACCCATTCAGTTTCCGCCCTAGGGTCTGCACCAAGGGAAGGCGCAAGGGAAAGCAGGGCTTTTTCACCATGGACCGACCCATGGTATTAGAGCCAAATGTCACGGGCGAAATGGAACAGCTATCATCCAAGGTCAACGAACTGGAACATAGGCTAACAGAAACCAGCAGGGAGGTTCGTGGAGTCAAGGAAGATGTCAGGGAGCTACGACGCCGCCTGGAAGCATTCCCCTCCAACAAAGAAATGAGTTCTGAGGGAATCGCCAACACAAACAGTCACCGTCCGGACTGGGCACAGCAGATCGCTGCCCCTACAGCCGCAGTTATTCCCAAGGATCAGCGCACGGAAGATGAAGATGTTATGGGTTCGGGCATAGGATCTCATCACGGGTCGGTCCACGGGGAGAACCTCTAGTTTCCCCTTGCCCCTCCCTTTGCGTGCTGACCGTATCGTGGCGACCTAAGGGGGTGATTTGTCCAAGAGATCACCCTAACTCTCCTTTACTCTTCTCTTTGACTGAAWTTYTGGATGCCTTTATTCAATAATAGTGGCTCCTTAAATAGGAGATTAC